AATATGTAAAATATTATGTGGAAAATGTTTATTTCTATTCAGTTTACATTCTATTACATTCGCTTTTTTCCCCATTCACTGTAGTGATGTACTGTTAGCTGTATTATTTACTTATTTTATTAATTTAACTGATTTATTTTTATCTAATTTTTCTTTTTTTATCAAATTTATCTATTTAGTTAAATCTCACATTTTGTTCATAATTTATTTTTGCACTGTGTTCCTAAAATTTAAAAAGTTGCTATGTATATTTGAATGTGTAAAGACCTAATATATACGGTGAAAAATTAATATTATAAATACATTAAAATATATTTTGGAAAATATTTAGTTTCAATTACATTTACATTTTTCCTCATTCACTATAGTACTATACTGTTAGCTGTACAGTACTGTTGTAATCTCATTTATATTTATTCAATCTAATTTGAAATTATTCATTTTAATCAAATTTATCTAATCTTTTTTTGTATTTAAAGGGGTCCTATTATGTTCTTTTACAAAGTAAAAACAGCGTGTGCTGTGATTGGTTAGCTGGGCCAGTGTGTGTTGTGACTGGTTAGCTGGGCCAGTGTGTGCTGTGATTGGTCAGCTGGGCTTATTTACTCTGTGTCTCTAAAACGTAAACCGCAGCTATATATTTTCATGTATAAAAAAACAATTTCTAGTGTGAGAAATTATATGAAAATATATAATATAATCCTCTTTTATATGTTTTAATCAAATGTTTAACTAGTTTTATCTTTTATACTGATTTGAAATTCTGAGTTTGAAAGCCTCTAGATGCGTTGCAGTGGTGCATCTACACATTGCATTTGATTGCTAACCGCTCTATTTATTCCTGCGTCAGGTCACCGTCTCAAACCGTCTGGTTTCTTCGCCCTGCTGCATCGTCACAAGCACTTACGGATGGACGGCCAACATGGAGAGGATCATGAAGGCCCAGGCCTTGAGGGATAACTCCACAATGGGCTACATGGCGGCTAAGAAGCACCTGGAGATCAACCCGGATCATCCCATCGTCGATACGCTCCGCCAGAAAGCAGAAGCAGACAAGAACGACAAATCGGTGAAGGATCTGGTGATCCTGCTGTTCGAGACGGCGCTGCTTTCCTCGGGCTTCACGCTGGACGACCCACAGACGCACTCCAACCGCATCTACAGGATGATCAAACTCGGATTAGGTGGGTCAAAGACTCGATATTAGGGATGTAATGGTATTATCAAAATCGTGGTCACATGACGATATGAAACATATGTGGCCCCGGACCACAAAACCGGTCATAAGGGTTAATTTTGTGAAATTGAGTGAAAAGTGTTCTGCGATATTATTGGTGGATATTGCTTAGCCCCACCCACACGGACTCGATTACATCAGCAGAAAAGGGTGGAGCAATAATTACGTTTCGATGCCATTACAGATTTTATTTCTATTTTGATTCAGTTTTAAATCATTATTGAAGCAGCAGATGATTCATTTGATGCTTCTGCAGTAGAGCGATTAGAGAATCCAAAATAAAAGTTTTTGTTTACATAATGTATGTGTGTGTGCTGTGTATATTTATTATGTTTATACACACGCATACAGTATATATTTTGAATTTGTATTAACATGTCTAAATTTATATTCATATAATTTGGGAACCTGGAGCACAAAACCAGTCTTAAGTGTCAATTTTTCAAAAAGCTGAATAAATAATCTTTCCATTGATATATGGTTTGTTAGGATCGGACAATATTTGGCTGAGATACAACTCTTTGAAAATCTGGAATCTGAGGGTGCAAAAAAATCAAAATATTGAGAAAATCATCTTTAAAGTTCTACAAATATACCCCAGCGACTTAACACTGCTTTTGTGCTGCAGGCTCACAAATGTGAACAAAAAGTGTCGTTTTTAAGATGTATTTAAACTTCTTACTCTAACATAAGGTATTTAAAGATGTGTTTTGGGCACAGTATCTGTCAGACGAACTAAAACCGAAAGCACAATATGGCTTCATCCCTTCATCAAGTCTGTTTTCGGTGCGTGTTTCAAAGTGAAGCGCACACTTCGTTCATGCGATCAGCTCATGATCCGGTGTTTTCTGAGCCTCAGAACCAGTGTTGCAACAAGTAACGCGAGTTATGTAATCAGATTACTTTTTTTTAATAACTAGTAAAGTAATGCTATCGTATCGTGAAATTTTGATATCGTTACATCCCTACTCAGTATGCATGAGATTGCAATGGGAAATAAAATATCGCAATAAATATCATATCGTGGACTGCATATCGCAATATTATCGTATCGTGAAATTTTGACGTCGTTACATCCCTACTTAATATGCATCTTTTTTTAAATAACTAGTAAAGTAATGCTATCGTATCGTGAAATTTTGATATCGTTACATCCCTACTCAATATGCATGAGACTGCATGAGATTGCAATGGGAAATAAAATATCGCAATAAATATCATATCGTGGACTGCATATCGCAATATTATCGTATCGTGAGATTTTGATATTGTTACATCCCTACTCAATATGCATGAGACTGCATGCGAATGCAATGGGAAAACAAGCATTTTAGTGTTTTTTTTTTATAAATATCGCAATAAATATCATACCGTGGACTGCATATCGCAATATTGTCGTATCGTGAGATTTTGATGTCGTTACATCCCTACTTAATATGCATGAGTCTGCATGCGATTGTAATGGGAAAACAAGCATTTTAATGTTTTTTTTTTTTTTAAATATCGCAATAAATATATCGTGGACTGCATATCGCAATATTATCGTATCGTGAGATTTTGACGTCGTTACATCCCTACTCAATATGCATGAGACTGCGTGCGATTGCAATGGGAAAACAAGCATTTTAATGTTTTTTTTCTGACGGTTTCAGGCATCGACGAGGACGATGTGTCCACAGAAGAGCCCAGCTCGGCTCCCATCGAGGACATGCCGCCGCTGGAGGGAGACGAAGACACGTCTCGCATGGAGGAGGTCGACTGAGAACGGCCACTGACCCATTCATGTTTGTAGCTCTGTAAAAAGATTATTGTTCAGATTATTGATTATTCATGTTGTTCTTGACCACATTTCAGTTTCTGTTCATTCCAGTTTGGTTGGTAAAGCTTTCGGAAACATCTCGTCATCCCACGTTCCCTTTTTTGGATTTTTATTTTTTTTGAGTTGTGTATGCACTTTGTTTTGTATTTATTGATTTTTTCTGACGGTTTCAGGCATCGACGAGGACGATGTGTCCACAGAAGAGCCCAGCTCGGCTCCCATCGAGGACATGCCGCCGCTGGAGGGAGACGAAGACACGTCTCGCATGGAGGAGGTCGACTGAGAACGGCCACTGACCCATTCATGTTTGTAGCTCTGTAAAAAGATTATTGTTCAGATTATTGATTATTCATGTTGTTCTTGACCACATTTCAGTTTCTGTTCATTCCAGTTTGGTTGGTAAAGCTTTCAGAAACATCTCGTCATCCCACATTCCCTTTTTTTGATTTTTATTTTTTTTGAGTTGTGTATGCACTTTGTTTTGTATTTATTGATTAACATTCCAATTTTGATTTTTGAGTGTTTAAGGGACACTGATACTGTATTATTGACATGACGGGATCCTGAAATAAAGCTTACCATATCAGATCGTTTGATGCTGTGTCTTCATGATGCTCAGACAAAACACTCCTTTAGGTTACATTTCACCACAAAAAAACTAAACAAAACAAAAACATTTAGCATTAAGAAATTGGAGGCTGTTTTAGGACCTTTACAGTTTTTTTGGGTTGTGACATTTTCCTGAAAATTTGACTGTAAATTTAATTGAACATGGCAATGATGTATTGTTAAATAATTTATAATCATAAAAATATTGACTCACCCATCAACTTAAAAACATGAAGTGTTTAAACCTTGTTTTAAGTTGTTACAAAAAAAACAACAAAAATTGTTACATTCAAAGTGCAAACTTCAAAGCCATCCCGTCTAGACACATTAAAAGCGGCATAAATTTTATTAAATATTACAGTGATGTATACTTATAATTGTATTTTACTGTACAAATGTGCTTTTTAATTTAAATATGTTTTAATAGTCCTAAAAATATTGACCCATCATTTTGAAAACATGAGCTACAAAAGACATAAAAACTACATAAACATAAAAATGCTTTTTAAAAAAATTATTAAAAAGGTGTTTAAAAACCTTATTGTAAATTGTTTACTAAAAAAAACTAAAATGTTTAAAACTTATAAATTGTAACTTTAAAAAAAGACTTAAAATTTTCTTTATTATAAATTGCTACTAAAAAACAACAAAAATGTATAAAAACTAAAATGTGTTTAAAAATGTACAACCTTGTTGTAAATTGTTACTAAAAAACAATCATGTTTTATAATGTTCAAAAACAAAAAACTTATTGTAAATTGTAACAAAACAAAACAAAAAAACGTTTAAAATTTTTTTACAATCGTACTTTATAAATTGTTACTAAAGAAACAAAAGCGAAATGTTTAAAAATATATATATGTTTAAAAATGTACAACCTTATTGTAAATGGTTACTAAAAATACATAAAAATAAAATTGTTATACACAATGTGTTCTAATGTGCCAAGCTAATATTATCTGTAGAGATACAGAGAGTGTCCAGCAGGTGGCAGCAAAACAATACAAAATACCATTTACATTTCAAACGCTTGAGAGATCACGAGTCCATAAAGATAAATAATATTATGTTTACAATGCACACATTATTGAATGCCAACACTGAGTAATTAATGTTCTCCTTAAGTGTAAAATAATAAAATGCATGCATTGCATTGAAATGAGCGCTCTGTGTAATTTCATCAGATCAAAATAAAACTGAAGTTGAAGTGCATCAGAAAGGAAGGTGCAGAATGAGTTTACAGACTTCATGATGTGTTCAGTTTAGTTTAGTTTAGTTTGCTGATGCATGAGTGTGAGTGTGTGTGTGTGTGTGTGTGTGAGAGAGAGAGCACACACACACATACACACACTGACAGCGGGTCTCATTGACTGACTGCAGGCTGGAAACACACGCGTGTGAGTGCCATGCCGAATAAAACCAAGAAAGACAAGGTGAGACACAACCAATGCGGAGGAAAACCTGTAAAAGTGCGCAAAATGCGGATTTATACTTAAGTCAAAGCGGCAGATTAGTTGCAGCTCTCAGCTCGAGACGTTAGCGTGTATGCTAACTCCAGCTTTGCCCATCATAAACGGGCTTTTATCGCGATGAGTTACACTCTGGGTTATAAACTGTAAACGATGTACACCCCTGGAGGCGAAACAAAGCACTTTAGGCGACTTTACATGTGTATTTTTGTACAGTTTATTTGGTCGGTGTTCAGTTTCGTGGCGAAGCTAACTTTAGCATGTTAGCGGAGTACTTGGTTTGTCGTTTAAAGAAATATCCCTTTCATCCAAATTCGAGCTGAAATGTCCAAAATGCTGTTCTATGAAAATAAATCGCATGCGTTTTATTATATTTGGTGCTGGAGTCCAGATTTGGACATGAAACACTTAAGCCGGATTGCTAATGCTAGCTGTCAGTGAGATGGTCTGTTGTTTTTATTAGCCAATAATGATTAATATCAGTTTTTTTAGAGGGGAAAATGTAAGGACGGAGTTTTATGTTGTTTATTCTCTTTATAGGATTCACCAAAATCTGCAAAAGTGAGTAAAACAGGAGGCCAGGAGAACTCAGAGCATGAGGTAACTTAATTTAGCTAAATGCGCTATTTTAGTTATGTATGTATTTAAAATGTGCTTATATTCTATATAATTATCTGTTATCTGAAATTAGATGTATGTGGCTCGTTCTGATCATGTGGAGAAATTATTTTAATGCAGAGAGATGTGAGCTGAACTGGGGTGTTTTTATTATTCAGATTAAGGCTCTTTTACACTTGGTTAAAATTTGGCCATAGATTAAAGGTCGTTATGCGTTGATGCTTTGTAGCAGATTTCTGAATGAAAATGTGTAGTTACAGTTAGAGGATCTAAACACACTTTAAGTTTCTTCTGTTCATGCATATTCATTTTAAACCTAGGATTTTGATGTTGCTTCATTCAAACGTTGTGCATCAACAAGCCAAATGCCTTTATGAGCTCTATTGTTATTGATTGATGTCTGAAATATTGCAGATGAATGGACTACTACTGTGATTGAGCACGTGAAAAATTTGCATAAAAATAAAACAAGAAAAACATAAAAATGTGCAACCTTATTTTAAAATGAGAACCCCTAAAAAAGTAATAAAAATGTAAAATTTGCAAACTAGTCATAAATTGTAAACCATAGAAATATGTAAAAAATGTGCAACTATTGTAAATTGTTATAAAATATAATGCAAAAAATATAAAAAAGTTTTTAATAGTGCTGTCAAACGATTAATCGCATCCAAAATAAGTTTTTGTTTCACATTATATGTGTATATTTATCTATTATGAATTTATAAATACAAACACATGCATGTATATATTTAAGAAAAATATTTTAAATATATTTATATATAATTATATGAATATAAATATATATATATATATATATATATATGTAAATGCATGTAAATATTTTCAAAATATATACTGTATGTGTGTGTATTTATATATACGTAATAAATATACACAGTACACACACATATATTGAGTAAACAAAAACTTTTATTTTGCATGCGATTAATCGTTTGACAGCACTAGTTTTTAAAATGTTACCCAAAAAAGCCAAAAAAATAAAATAAAAAAAAAGGGAAATATTTAAATACACAATTTTTTTTTCAAATTGGCAAACTATTGTAAATTGTAACAAAAAAAAAATACACAAAAATGTTTACAAATTGGCAAGCTTATTGTAAATTGTTACTAAAAATGTGATAAAAATGTTCAAAAACATAAAGATGTGTTTAAAACTGTTAACCTTTATTTTAAATTGTTACAAAAAAAAAACAATAACATTACAGTAAAAATAAAGTTAAACATGTTCTTGTAAATTGTTACTTTAAAAACACGAAACAAAAACAAAAGTGTTTAAAATCATAAAAATGTGTTTACAATGTGCAACCTTTATTGTAAATAGTTGCTAAAAAATATAAAAACACGATATAAACACTGTCTTTACATTGCATCTGTGCTATAGTTATTCAACTTAAAGGATATTTGTAGCTTAATGGTTACAGATTTGATCTGCTGTTATAAAGGTTCTGTTCCCTCTGTGTTTTTGTTGTTTCTGAGCAAAACACTCGTGTTCATTTAGCAAAAATCCATAAGCATGATAAAAATCTAATCTTTTCTTGTGACCTGCTCCATGTTGGAGAGATGAGGATGTAAGGTGTTTTTCTCCATCAGGGCTCGAATAAGAAGGGCGCTAACAGCGTCCCACCCGCCACACAGCTGCTAAAGAGCAAAGAGGCCGGATCTCAGACTCCGCTGAAGAAGGAGAAGAGGCCGAGCTCGTCTCGATTCAGTCTGAGCAACAACCGAGAGCTGCAGAAACTGCCTGCATTCAAAGGTGAGACACACTAGATTTGATTGGCTGGTGAAAAGTGTTCCGCGATATTATTGGTGGATATTGCTTAGCCCCGCCCACACGGACTCGATTACATCAGCAGAAAAGGAAAGTCGTTTCAGAGGTGGAGCAATAATTACGTTTTGATGCTGTTACAGATTTTATTTCTATTACAAAAACTTTTATTTTGGTTGCGATTAATCGTGATGAATCGTTTGACAGCACTAAGAGAAATGATCCAAAACAAAGACAAACCAGAGATAATTTCTAGATGATGATGACCTGAAGTGAGGAACATGTTTGAGTCTGTCAGAGAAGCACTGGATGTGCTCTTTTCTCTTTTACACATTTATTCAGTGAGTTTAAAATGAATCGAATGCATTGAAATGCCTGATCGCTGTGAATCTTGACCTCTGGATTCGTGGTATATTTATTATGAAAGCCTCTGTTAGTGCCCTCAGACAGAACAGAGCTGAATCCGTGAATCTTATGTAATTTAGCCGATAGATGCCGATGTGTTTGTCCTGGTTTGACTCTTCTCATGGAAATGAACTTAAACCTGAATAAATCCAGCTGTTTTCTGACGTTTGACTCTTCTGAACTGCAGCGTCTAGAACTGAACGTGTTAAATATGTTTGGAGTCACATACTAATGCTGTTTCTTAAGCGTGCCACAACGCAGTGCGCTCGACCTTCCCTTCCCAGCATGATGCATGTGCAGCTAGTGATTATTATCATCTGCTTCACTCATTATTTAATTTGCCAAAAGTTATAAAGATATCTATCTATCTATCTGTCTATCTATCTATCTATCTATCTATCTATCTGTCTGTCTGTCTATCTATCGGTCTATCTATCTATCGGTCTATCTATCGGTCTATCTATCGGTCTATCTATCTATCGGTCTATCTATCTAGCTATCGGTCTATCTATCTATCTATCTATCTATCTATCTATCTATCTATCGGTCTATCTATCTATCTATCGGTCGGTCTATCTATCTATCGGTCTATCTATCTATTGGTCTATCTATCGGTCTATCTATCTATCTATCGGTCTGTCTATCGGTCTATCTATCGGTCTATCTATCTATCGGTCTATCTATCTATCTATCTATCTATCTATCTATCTATCTATCTATCTATCTATCTATCGGTCTATCTATCTGTCGGTCTATCTATCTATCTATCGGTCTATCTATCTATCGGTCTATCTATCTATCGGTCTATCTATCTATCGGTCTATCTATCTATCGGTCTATCTATCTATCGGTCTATCTATCTATCGGTCTATCTATCTAT